TGAGTCTTTTGTTTATCAGAGTCTCAAGTTAAAACATAAAAAGTCAATTTTGCTAGTATTGATATTGCAGAATTTTATTTGGTCCCCCCCCCCCTGTAAATAATGTTAGGTCCCTTATGATTATGATAATGGACATCGTGAACACTGCAATCTTTGGAGTTAAAATTACAGATTACTGTATAGCTCTACCTTTCAAAGATGTCAGAGAGAGTATTAAGCATGACAAGGTAATTATGCCTTCGACTCCCAGAAGTGATTGATGTGTAACTTCTCCCTATAACATCCATACATTATTCAACAGACAGGTGATGAGAATACTTAAACCCATGAGATAGAAGTTGTTATCTTGATCCAACACCAAATTCTCATAACTAGTTTACAAGGAAATGTGTAGCTGCTAGAGGGGAGAGTTCACAATCAGATCATCTTGGGAGTTTAAGGGTTATAATGGCAACTTGTTAAACCCTTTCTGGAAAATGATGGTGTCAAAATATTAAAAAGTACTTCCACTTTGGAAAATTAGTTGTTTGAAGTAGAAAACATCTGATATGAACATGTGAACATCTTTAATTTAAATGTATTGAATTTTTCCTCCAAGGAATGAAAAATTTGCTGGATCCAGACCAATACTCTGATAATTTTTAGAGTTGTTTTTGACAAATTTCAAAGGTCATCTTTATTGTGTTTAGATAGATAGATAGATAGACAGACAGGCAGATGAACAATGAGCCAGCAACTCGTACTAAATACATTCGATTATACCCACCCATCCCACCTCAGGGGAGGACATCCATCACACAGTAATCTCGTGCATGGGAAATTAACATCTCCTACCCCTAACCCTGCAGGAGACAGGACCTCCATTTATTTGTCCCTATCCAAGAAGACTAGAATATCTAACCATTTCTTGATGTTATAGAATGGTAGCATATTCTTCTTATAATTATTTTAAGACCTTGAGTGTTGGTTCGGCCGGGGCTCGAACCCTCGACCTCCCGCCCAACAGTCCTGCGCTCTATCCATCGAGCTAGGAATCCTCTCCAAGATTTCTATATAAATGTTATTGTCTTTGTTTTCCCTTAACAATTTGTTTCCAGATGGAGTAGTGATAAGTCATTTGCCAGATGGACCAACTGCACATTTTAAATTGACCAGTGTGAAACTTGGCAAGACAATCAAGGTAGAAATGTCAGAAAAAAATGATTTTTCTTGTTTCAGATGGTTACACCCTAACATCAGTATGCAAATTCTCCATACTGTTCTCAATACATTTCCTGTAGTACTCACAAGGAGAAGTTGTCTAACAATCAAGAGCTTCTTGAGTCTGATCATTTCCTTAATTCTCATAACCTTAATGTTTGAGCCAGGGGTGATACTGTTGGGAGAAACTAGATGCTTATCATTCTAAGGGGGAAAGGGTTAAATACAGGGGGAAAAGAATATCAAATAAGTTTTTTTCTGATGTTGTTTGGTTCGAGTGCAGTCTAGAGTACCTCTTATTGAAAAGATAGAGGACAAGGGTTTAGCTAAGACGTTACACTGCCGGCTGAAATCTCAAGCGAGGCAGCTCAAAGGTGGTGAATGATTGTAAGTGTGTAACTTCACAAGTGCACATGGTGCTTTGCTATGTGATTGCTGGCCAAAAATCTAGCTGGCGATCACCACTTTTTCATTCGGGGATTTCGCCGGCAGCCAGCACTTAGCAACAACCTTGAGAGGAATGGGGTTAAATTAGGTTTCATGTGAACTTGGAATGAAATGAAGCTTGTTGCTGTGCATCACAAAGGTTTCATCCTCTTTTTTTTTTTCAGAACCATGGTCGTAAGACAAGCCATAGACCAGAGGTTATACTCAATAACTTTAGCACACGTCTTGGCCATTCAGTAGCTCGCCTTCTCGCTGCCTTGTTTCCTTATGATCCTCAGTTTCAAGGCAGACAATGCATTACCTTTCATAATCAGCGTGACTTCATTTTCTTTAGACATCACAGGTAAATACTTCAAGTTTGCTGAAAAATCGCAAAGGGGAATGTGGGTACAGCCCTAGCATAAAATTTTATTATCCTTAAAGGGTTGTGGAATCTGTTTTACAACAACCTGGTTATTAAGAAATTACAACATAGTTTGCACATCTCCTTTCTGTAATGCCATACCATAATTATTATGGCTTATGATTTCTGAAATATGTAAGCTTAACTTTTCACATCTTTCACTTGTAATCCATTTAACAAGTAGGTTCCATGTTCCCATGCCTCTGTACAGGAACAGATCACATGTAAACTCCACGTTTAATTTTTTCTTCAGAGTTCCACAGCATCGTAAATCAGCCTCTCTACCTATATCGCTCCACGTCGCTTCGAAATTCTCTGAATCTTTTGCAAAAACCCTTCGTGAACACTACAAACTAAACAACAACAAACATATGAAACATGTGTGAACTGCGGTTATGAGACGTATGTGAGAGCACGATCCTTCGCAGTAAAGCACTATTTGAGCAATATAGTGCTCAAATAGTGCATATACGTCTCATAACC